TGTATATTTTCATCACAATAAAACTACCAAAAAGAACCAGACATTACATAACAAAATAATCAACAAATTACCTTGAAAGTGTCATCATTTTGAGTTTTGTTATAGTAAATCCAGCTTTGTTTATTAATTCAATTATTTCTCCAGCCTTTGACACTGCATCTGGTTTAATCAGGGCTAATGTTCTGTAAAGAAACAAAGAAGAATTTAAAAATAAAGTAGTTCATCAGTTTTTATTTGTAATTCTCAGGCACAAGTAGTTTTCCTATCATCTACTCCAGATCATCAAACATCAAAATTAATTATACAGAGAAGCATATTAAAGATATCTCTTAAAAAATTATTTAAGGTAAGTGTACTCTGTTTTTCAATAAGCTAAAATTAGGTACCCAATTGAAAAATAAATAAACAATAAAAAATAAGGGAAACATTAATATTTACTTATATCAAAACTAGAAAACACAGGCTCAAATTTCTGAATATTTCTTAGAATACATTTTATACAGAAGGCTAATATCTAAAAAGTTACATTGAATTTATCATGAGCTTGATTTTTGGTCTCTTAGATTTTAACACATGTATATTATGCAGTAAGTTCAACATTGACTTGGAAATAATTATAAATTCTTGTACTGATGATTCACTAGCATGGGTCATGCACAAAGAATCAAAATTTGTCTCAACCAATAAGGTGTATGAATAGGGAACATCATGCTCACTTTTAAATTCATGCACTCTATCCCTATGAAGTCAAACAACTAATAGACTTTTGGAGATGGAGATCATTTGACTCAGTGCCCTCTTTTTACTAATAAGGACATTCAAGTGAGGAAGGTAACTTTCCAAAGGTCAGACCCTGGGTCAGTGGCATCATCAGGAAAAAACATAGCTTCCAAAACTCCACGTCTGTACTCCTTTTATACCATGTATTGCAAATGTTAATATTATTAAAAGAAGGTATAATCATCTAGTCTTCCAGAATAATATTTGCAGATGCATTATAAAAACCAGATTTGTAGTAATTCAGTTTATATAAAATACAAAATTTGATAAAGAATTGCTGCCTCTTTCTTTGCTTTATTTTCTATTGTTATGACAGTATTGGCATTAATTCAGTGATTCCACAAAAGGAGAATAATTGGTCTTTTTATGGTTGTTTTTGTTATACCTAGGAGACAAATGCAGCTGAGACTATAGCAATTCAAGCATTCCTACTAACAAGTGGATATAACTTACAGCTGGACTTTAAAACATGTAAACAAAAAAAGAAATCGTTTCTCTTAGCCTAGTACAAGCTGTACCAGAATTTTTTTTTTTCTTTTTTTGAAGCAGATGAGTCATTTGCATTATTTTCTATTATTTGGTTTCACGAAAGATACAGTTAAATTTTTCATTTTAAAGTTTACATTATTTAAATGTTATAAGTCAAAGTAACCAATAAATTGTTTGAATAAATGAATAAACATGTTACCTTATAAGTCAAACTAAACAAATAAATTCTTTATCCTAAACTTTGAAAGATTTTCAGGAACAACAACTCCTAAATGAAAATATAAAACATCTAAGCAGTCATCACTTTTTGTAAACATAAAACAATGTGAAAAGCCTAAAATGCAACTTCATTTGCTTTTAAAATGTCTCAAGGAAACAATGGATTGATTAATATGATTAATTATTCTAAATAAATTATTTTGTGATGTCTTCACTCCTAAATTTAACACAATTAATCATTTCTATATAAATTCCTCTATGATATCTCGGAAACCCAAGGAGGGGTCGCTGTGAGTCGGGGCTGACTCAACAGCACATAACAACAACATGATATCTTTACTACTTAATTGTTCAGCAGGAAATAATTAAAATGTAATTTCAAGGGGAAAAAGACAGGCATCAGGAATCATATATTATTTAAAAATGAAGATAACACATTAAGAAACAAAAAGGCCACAAAAATGTAATAATGTGTCTACCATCTGTTGCCACATAACAAACCACCCTAAAGCATAGGGGCTTAACACAAGAAACAATTAACTTCTGAAGATTATGAGGGTTGGGTGGGTGGTGGTTTCTCCTGGGCTCATTCATATGGCTGCATCTGGCTGGTGAGCCAGTTTGGCTCAGCTGGGTTGGTTAAGCCTCTCTTTCTTGTGGTTTTCCACCCTTAAAGGGGCTAGACCAGACTTTCCATAAAGTCACATAGCATCTAACGCATACGTATTTATCCAGTATTCCCCTGAGATACATTTGCTGATGTCTGTTTGGCCAATGCAAGTCACACGGTCATAGAGTCTGGAAATTAATAAACATACTTCTAAATAACCAATGCATCAAGGAAGATACCATATGGAAAT